GTTCATCCCCGTTTCCAAGCCATAGAGCCAGCATTTTGATACTACACTAGTAGGACTTATCTCTGGGGATGATGAGTCTGCGTATCGGGACGAGGTATTACAGCTATCCCGCTGGTGCAAAAAAAATAATCTTTTATTTAACATCCAAAAAACCAAGGAATTCATAGTGGACTATAGGAAAAAAAGAGCAGACATTCAGCCACTGTATATAGATGGAGTTTGTGTGGAACAGGTGGTTGAATGTAAGTTTCTTGGGACTATCATAACAAATGACCTGACTTGGAGTGCAAACACCGCTGCGTTAATCAGGAAGGCACAACAACGGTTGTATTTTCTAAGGATTCTTAGAAAGCAACAATTGACTGAGAGTTTGTTAATCACCTTCTATCGGAGTTCGATTGAGAGCATATTATCCTACTGTCTCTGTGTATGGTTCACGAGCTGCACAGTGGCAGAGAAAAAGGCAATTCAAAGGGTGATTAAGACGGCCCAAAACATCATTGGCTGTTCACTCCCCTCTTTGGAAGAATTGTATAAGAACAGAGGTAAGAGGAAGATATCTAACATACTGAAAGACTCCTCTCATCCGGGATATCAGCTCTTTAAACTATTACCATCAGGAAGGAGATTCAGGGTATTGAAAGCAAGGACAAGCAGATTCAAGAACAGTTTTTACCCAAGTGCAGTATTGAGTTTAAATGCGGGGCCATAAGTTTTTGGTGGACTTTTTAATTGCTGATCATTTTGTTGCACCCACTTGTGAGCGCAATGACAAATAAATTTCTTTTGTCTTATGTCTTAAAAGGAGCCAGAGCTTCTCTTTCGCCAGTCAGAGAGGCGCCATGGATGGGGAAGTTCCACCGGCTAAAAGGAGCCAGAGCTGCTCTTTCGCCAGTCAGAGAGGTGTCTCCTTTTGCTGCCTCTATTTCTGGGGAAGGTCACGGAGGCATCCTAGTGGCTGATCAGCAACAGGATTCCCCTGGTATTCTAGGAAGAACCAGGCAGGGCTCTTCCGCACTCCGTTCGGTGCCCACAGGCACAGTTGCAGAGGAGAGGAAGCGAAGAAGTAACAGCAGAGAGAAAACAGCATCTTGCTTGACTCTTTCACCTGCTCTTGTGAAGAAACGCAGGAGACACGGCAAAAGCCCCTCCAGGGCAGCCGGAACCATTCTTTGACTAGGGGAGAGGTGGGACATGTAAACAACACCCCCCCAAAAGCATAGCCAATGGTGAGGGACATGGGAGTTGTAGTCCTGCAACATGGGGCGAGTGGGTCTTCTTTAGCTCCAACTTGGAAGAACTGAAAAGAGTTCCAGCTGCCTGGCTAGGTGCTACCTGAGGGGGTGGAGTGGGGTGTGTGTGAAAGGTATCCCATGAGACACACACACACACACACACACACACACACACACACACACACACCAGAAGCTGTCCTCTGACAGGAAAGGACTAAACATGACATTTCCCCTCTCCCTCGAATTCCTCCTGCGTAGGGGATGTGGGCTAAAGAGAAGAAAGGGAGTTGCCAACCGGTGTCAAAATGTTTTGAACTTGGCCGGATACATACACCCTCCCCCCCCCCGAATCCGTACTTACACGCTCTCCATCCAGCCCTCGGCGGCCAGTATACCCTTGTGGCCCCTGAAAGAGAGATTTTAAAAAACGAAGCGTTAAACAAGAGGGCTCTGCCAGCCTGAACCGTCCCGAGCCTCTGCCACTCAGCACAGTCTACCAGGGCGAAGAGCCCACAATCAACGGTGGATCATCTGGTGACAAGCCTAGGCACGAGGGAACGCCACAGCTTGATCCAGATGCGGAGGGAGGGATCTGCTGCCTTACCAGGAGGAAACCCCATCGCTTCAGCATAGGAAGACCCCGTAGCCCACCAGATCCTATTGAGTTACATTTCCCATGACAGGACCCACTGGCTGGGGCTGGTGGGGGTTGCTTTGGCACCAACACAAGAAGATGTTCCTCCTCTGTGCTGGGAATTCTGGGCGCCCATCAGTTGTTGCCCGCTGTAAAAGCAACGGGCTCTGGCGCTGGGTTGTGTGGTGGGCAGAAGCCTGTCCATCTAGCTCCAGTGGTGGCCACGACTTTGTGAGTCGTTCCAGTGAAGGCACCAGGACTGCCTTCGAGCGAACCAGAGGAGGTCCTTCCAGATCCTTCCAGATCCCCACACGTCCCCTCTGCCAGCCGGGTCAAGGGTTAGGCGGGCTGGGGATACTCACCCTCTCTCCTTTCTCCCCAGGGGCGCCGGCGGCTCCCTCAGGCCCTGGCAAGCCGGGCTTTCCCTGAAAGAAACCACAGTCTCGTTAACAGGCACCATCTCTTTCATTCTCTCCCCGCGTAAAATTCTTCGCCTGCCTTTCCCTCTCCCGTGTGAACCGTGGAGGAAAACTCCGAATCAGAACCGCTGGCCTCCATGCGGTGTGCTCCATTAAACGGCCTTCTCTAGGGTGAACGTGAAGAGTTGCCTTATCGAGGGGTCTCTACCCCTCTTTGGCTTCCTGCAATGAGCCTTACACACGGCTGCCCTCGAAGGGTGCTCTCAGACGGGTTCAAAAACCCAGCAAATACATCGTTTACGGACAGTGGCTAAATGGACGCAACACATTTTGGCCATCTAAAGACAACAAGGTCAGTTTCTGCCCCAGCACTTCTGTTCTAAATGTCCCATTACTGGAGAATTGTACCCTTCCACTTCTCCGAACCGCTGTAGGAAAATGTGCTGGCCCTCTCAGGCAAATGTTGCCTCTTTCTAAGAAAACAGGGGGTACTCACATCATGTCCTGGAGGTCCTGGTTTTCCTGCTGGCCCTGGGGGACCTGGAGGAAGGGGGAGAAAGACTTTATATCTCTGGGCACAGCTCAGACAGGAGTTGCAGTATAACATTTGTTCCTGGGAATTGTAGCTCAAAAAAACCATTCCGGGAATTATGGTCCAAAAAAGGACATTTCTTCTTTTAAAAAGGGTAACATTTCAGAACTCTACCCACCTGAGTGGGTAAGTGGGGCATCTCAACACTACGCCATGAAGGTGGTGCCATAGGACTCCAGTTGCAGTCCTCATGAGAACTCTACCCACCTGAGTGGGTAAGTGGAGCATCTCAACACTACCTACGCCATGAAGGTGGTACTGTGGGGCTCCAGGTGCAGTCCTCACTCTGAGAGGGGAAAAGTTACTATTGTGGACGGCCAGCGTCCAGAATCGCCCAGCCGGCATGGCCAGTGGGTACCCCAAATCGACACATTTCTTCATTCTCCCAAAAGAAAAGAAAACTTCAGATTTTATCAGTCTGGACATGGGTGGAAGCAAAACTTAAGATAGCTTCCACCCACCCAGATGGAAGGCTTCTGAGTGCCTAACGATTCAAAAACTCTGGGTCCAGATTTAGCCAAACTTGTGCTACTGAAGTAGAGTTCCCACCTCTGTTTTCCTCGTCGTTAACAAATGACCCAGAAGGCTGACACAAAGCCCAATGCTAGGAATAGCTACACCAAACTGAATCTGGCCATTGGAGACAGCTCAGAATTTCTTTTGCTTCATCTTGTGTAAGAACTTCTTAAAAATCTGCCCATTTCTTCATCCTCTTAATGGAAAGATCTTTATGATTTAAAATATTAAGAAGGGAGAGATAATGATACGAATTGATGTCTAAGACCCCTTTCGTCTCTGCTATCCTCTTTTGCATACATTACAGTTTCTCCAAATCCTTCAGAAACAACAATGGCCTGATTCTGATGCACTCGTTCCAGCTGAGGTCTGAGTCCTGTTAAGCCTAGAATCTGGAGCAGCTAGGAGATGGATACCGGGGACCACTTGTATGGCAAGCACAGTCTGCCTGCCACGAAGCCATCATTCAAGAATTAGATGCAACTTCCTTATGCAGGAGAGCCAGTCAGATGTGATGGTTGAACTGGGACTTGAAAGTGGGGTGTGATGGTTTTGGAGTAGGGTCAGAAAGATCTGCATTCTGTTCCTCACCAAGCTACAACGCTCGTTGGCTGGCCTTGATCAGTCACTCTTTCTCAGGCTGGGCTAACGCAGAGCTGGAATATGAACTAGGTCTTGCCCAGTATTATCTATTTCAGAGGTGGGAAGAAGGCAGAGCTGAATCTCTTGACAGTCTATTGGGTGAGAGTCAGGTGAGACCAAGGATGTTCAACTTCCAAATGTTAATAATAAAAGCACCTACATGACACACACACACACACTCAACTCTGGCCCTAAATTATACCTTGTGAGTCAAAGAGGGCTGGTATCAGAAAGCATCACAAATTTTGTGCCAGAGGATTACTGTATAAGCGCTGTTCGGTTTCGGTGCTCAGAACAAATTTCTGACTCATATTTTAGGTGTGTATTTTTTTTTACACCAGGCTCTGATTGATGGATTTCAAAGGATTGGTGAAAGGGGGGGGGGCTGAAGTAGATCTTGCAAGCCTTACATCTCCCCAATGCTTGGCTCTCTCCTGCTTGCAATAGCTTTCCAAGCCCAGATCTCTTTCATTCCCAGACCAGGTGCCCGGGATCCTTTGAAAGCCAAGGTCCGGAGAACATGAACACGGAGGCTTTCTGGATGCAACCCAGAGAGTCTTCCACTAGTAACTGCAATTCATTCCATTTCATTTGGAGGGGGGGGGGAGGAAAGATCCTGTCTTGCTACCGATTCTCTCCATAAGACAAATACTGGGTTCCAAATGAGCCAGCCCCTCTTTGATTTAGACTCCCTCTGCAGCAAATGTTCCAAGGAGATCTTGCGCTTTCCCCACTCATGGGAAACATCCATGCAGTTTTTCAAAGAAAATAAATAACGTCCGCACTCCAGATTCTGGAAACATCACCGTTTCGGATGATCCTAGATTTTGGGAGGGGTTTTTTGGGGGGGCGGGGGGGACACCAGCAACACCATGGCCTTTCCCTGTCTACATCTGACCCTTTCCAAATGTCATGGAGGAACCAAGGGCTTCCTGACCCAAGAAAAGTGCAGAATTGCCACTAGAGGACAGCATAACCCCAGCTAAGAGGTGGGTGATGGAGCCGGAGGATGCTTCTCCATCAGTATAGTTCTAAGATGGCAAAAGATGGCGCGAGACGATACTTACCCATAGGTCCCGGAAGCCCCGGAGGGCCAGCTGGCCCCGTAATACCCGTTTCTAGAAAGGTGTTGGACAAAAGTGGGTCTCCTGAAACATGAGGGCACAGAGGGTGAGTCCTTGGAACCAAAACAGGTTGCGAAAGAAACCTCCGAATTTGAGGACGAACATTACGGTGGGACGAAGGTGCAACTGTCTTCTGTGTAGGGGAAAGGGTTGGTTTCCCCTCTGGATTTCCCCAACCATTCATGACCATCATCGAAGGGAGCAGAGGCTCCTCAGAGTTGGCCAGCCTTGGGTCACCCAAGTGTTTTAGGACTGCAACTCCCCAAAACCGCTCAACAAGGCCTCCCGGCCAGAATCCCTGCCAATGCTCCCCAAAAATCACTTTCTAGTCCTGGAAGTGCCAAGAGCAGCCATTTATTTTATTTTATTTATTTTTTTGCATTAAAAAGTATTTCTTATTTTGCTTTCCAAGCCCCAAAATAAAACTGAGGTTAAATTTCTGGCCATTTCTAGCTTGGATGTTTTTTTTCCTCTCTCTTTCTTTTCTTTCTTCTTCCAAAATTGGACCTGGTGACCCACCGTGGCCCGAACTCTCTTGCACCGTTATAGCAAAGCAGTGAATTGCTCTGAGTTATGAAACCTCCATGGCACGATCTGTCGCATGCCAAGCCGTGTGGCTCTACAGGCCATATAGACAGTCCCTAAGGAGACTTCTCAATTTGAGGCAATTCATTGCTAAAAGTTACGCCTTCTGCGTAACGGTGCAACAGGATTTTGGCAAGTAAGCACTGGGGTTGGGAAAGATGGGGTCTACTCCTTGATGTGGGTCTAGCCACCCACCTTTTGTTAGATAGATAAACAGATGCTCAGTCTCCATCAGCAAGTTCATCATGAACGCTGGCAACCGAGGTCTTTCCCTCTCACTTAGAAACCATCGGCACGATCCCCCTGCAAGGACCCTTCTCGGATCCACCAGCTTACTTACTTTGATCTGGGAGCAGTGAGATCTTTGGTCCCACTGGGGCTGGCGGACCTGGGGGTCCAGGAAGGCCTGGGAGGCCTTTTTCTCCAGGTAGCCCCCTGGGACCATCTCGTCCGGGAGCACCTGGTGGGCCAGGTGGACCTGAAAGAAAACATGAAACATACAGTGAAGAGAGGTGTGTCGTGAACTATTTTTTTCCTCCCATATCCGTGGGTGATGCATGGAGTCCAACAGGGAGAGAGAGAAAAGATCCAGCAGAAAAGGGTTGTTTCAAAGGGTGGGCTCAAGAGTTTTGAAAGATGTTGGGTCTGTTGCCTAAAACAGAAGTGGGCTTTTAAGAATATGTGTGGACAGAATAGCCCCAATGGCCACAAAGTGAGGAGGGACAGCTTTAAAACAAATTCTTGTTCTCAGTGATTGTCTCGGGTCTTGCCAGGCTGAGATGCCATATCAGGATCCCCCTCCTGAACCATCAGGTTTTACTGGCTTCCTGAAATGGCACAGACATCTACCTGGACAAGCCCCAAGTCACTGAGCAGGACTGAAAAGTTGTTCTATCAGGATTGGAGGGTTGACCCTTGCAGGTTATATGCAGGCCATGGGCCCCCATATTACGCACATGCCCTCTTGCGCTCAGAGAGCGCCATCTTCCCAAGGAAGCAGAGTGAGAGTGCAACAAAATGAGTGATGCTCCTCGGTTATATGCAGGCCATGGGCCCCCATATTCTGCACATCTCCTCTTGGGCTCAGAGAGCGCCATCTTCCCAAGGAAGGAAAGAGGGACAGAGCACAGCAAAACAAGTGATGCTCCTGGGCAGACACTGACTGTCGCTGCGAATAAAAACAGACCTATAATAAATGCAATGAAGAATAATGTGTCTTCCTCCTTAAGACATCCAATCAGTTTCTTCACTCGGCTCCAGAGCTTCAAAGATTTCCCTTTATTTGACCACAGCTCCCAGCCAGCTGAGGGACACGGTGGTGCTGTGGGTTAAACTGCAGAAGCCTCTGTGCTGCAAGGTCAGAGAACCAGTCGTTGTAAGATCGGATCCAGGCGACGGAGTGAACTTCCATCGCTTGTTTCAGCTCCTGCCTACCTAGCTGTTTGAAAGCATGAATACATGTGAGTAGATAAATAGGTACCACCACGGTGGGAAGGCCACGGCGTTCCATGTCTAGTTGCGCTGTTCCATGTCTAGTTGCGCTGGCCACGTGACCATGAAAATGGTCTATGGACAAAACGTTGGCTCTACGGCTTGGAGACGGGGATGAGCACCGCGCCCCAGAGTCGGACACGACTGGACTAAATGTCAAGGGGAACCTTTACCTTACCCAGCCAGCGACAAAGCCCCATCTTCTGAAGGGTAGGGCCAGACCTCATCACCAATTCTGGCCCCTCTCTGTAATACTGATTACCTTGAGAGGAGGGGGCGCTTAGGACTCTTTGTTTTAATAAGTCTTCATTGAAATCCTTCATTGAGATCTTCTCTCTCTCTCTCTCTCTCTCTCACACACACACACACACACCCTTCAACAGCCCAGGGAGGTCCAAAACAAAGAAGCAGGGAGAGGAGGAGGGAGCTAGATCTGGGAGGAAGGGGCTCTCTGTGCAAGGGATGGGGATGGGGGGGGAGAAACCATCTGTGTGGGGTTCGGCTGGTTGCATTTATTGCTGAGCCTCCAACCGCCTGGAGGCAACTTTCTCTGGGACTCTTTCCAAACCCAATAAACATCCAGCAGACCCGCGGAGGGGGCAGAGGGGATTGCCAAAAAGCAAGCTCCGCTCCCTATTAGCTCCCTTCCCCGGTGAGGCCACTTCTCCCACCCTTCCCCGACCACCGAACTCAAGGCTACAGGGGGCTTGTCCCCAGGTGAGTCCGGGCACTCCGTGGGTTGGCCTAAAATACCCTAGGACGCTTCTGGAAACTTTGGTAGCTGAGGCGCAATGTTCTCTCCACTAAATGGAAACGGGAGGCACTCGTCCTTCTTCTGTCTTCAAAGGCAGTGGTTCCCCAAACTTTTTCGAGTCTTGACTCCCCCTTTCATAATAGCCAAGTCAACCGCGACCCTCTCCAGCCATGTCTGCATTGAAAGGCATTTTTAATGGGGTAAATTCATCCCTTCTCTGAAAGGAGAGGCTTCTTTCTCCCCCAAAAGGGGCCTGTTTCTCAGACATACACATATGCACCAACTTTAGCATCTGACTCTGAAAGGTCAAGGAAGAAATTATTTAACAAGGGGCATAACACCGATAAGGCAGTCTGTGACCTCCCTGAAAAACACCTTGGGATTCCCTTGACGGTCACGATGACCTCCAGGTTGGGAAACACTGCATAAAATGGTGCTATCTATTCCTTTTTAGTCAGGGTTGTTATTGTTTTAATAGTTTGTGAGCCGCCTTGGGGCCAGCCCTTCAATGGGAGAAAGAATGGCACAGAATTCAAACAAATAATTAAATCAATAGGCCAGTTCTGAGTGTGTGGGTGTGATCAGACAGTGAGAAACGATCGTGTCTGATTGCGCTGGAAAATATCCCTTTGCTTGGTGCTATCAGCCTTAAATCGACCCGTCCACAAGTACAGGAACGGTTCCAGTCCAGCTCAAAAACAGAGCAACTTTGCTGCTGGACCTAAAAGCTCCAGATTGGGCAAGGAGGGGAGTCGGGCTGATTCATGATCTCCTGTGCGTCGTGCAATTGCTGGGAAATAGCTCACGCCGTGCCATACCACGAGCAGTGCAGCACACAAGCTATTTCTCCATTAGATCACACCCTGCAAAGGAAGAAAAGGAAGACTGTCTTTCTGAGAACCCCGTCTCTTCTCCTTCCCTGCAACGTTTCTTCACAAAAACTTGGAATATTTGGGCCTGTAGAAGAAAATCCGGAGCACCGACTACTTCGGAGATACAACAGCCGTCCTCCTCTTAGGAGAGACGCTGCTTTCTAGAAACGAATCTAGAACAGCAGGAGGTTGCCACCGTGGAACCAACCCACAGGCGGAAAGTAGAGAGACTAAGCTGTGATCCATAGGCCAGAATCTTGTTGGCGATTTACTCAAGAGCAACTTATCTTGGAGGCTTTAGCCAAGAGATTGGAAGAAGGCTGAGTCTCGGAAGGGCAGCAGTGACGGGATTAGAAAAGATCCCCCACTGTACCTAGAACAGCAGGAGGTTGCCACCGTGGAACCAACCCACAGGCGGAAAGTAGAGAGACTAAGCTGTGATCCATAGGCCAGAATCTTGTTGGCGATTTACTCAAGAGCAACTTATCTTGGAGGCTTTAGCCAAGAGATTGGAAGAAGGCTGAGTCTCGGAAGGGCAGCAGTGATGGGATTAGAAAAGATCCCCCACTGTAAGGATTTATCGCTAGAGACTAAGGCCAAGATCACCCATACTATCATATTCTAATTCTTTCACTGAGTGAATTGCTGCTCACATCTGGCAGGTCATCTGGAAGACCTCATGAACTAACAGCAATCCACAGTGGTGTATTTTGCAGTTTAATTTAGGCACACACGAGTCACCAACAAGATTCTGTCTACAGCTTAATATCTAATTTTTTAGGATTACCATCCTGGCTGTGCCAGGCACAGTTCCCGGGGGAATAAGTCCATTTAGGCTCAACAGGGCTTATTTCTGACAGCACGGAAATTCAACTTACAAAAGAAACTGAACTTTAAAAGAAAGACAAAAGGCTTCCTTTTGACTTTTGATGAGTCATGCAAACAGCGCTTCAAAGAAGTGTCAGCTGTTAGCCGCAAGCGTGAGGTCGCAACCGCATCAAAAGGAAAAGAAAAGAAGTCTCTAACCTGTGTTAATTGCTTTTCTCTTGCTTTTCCCTCTATGCTAATCCGCCACAAACAACAGTAAAATCAGAAAGATTCCATGTTCCGTTATGCCTTGTTGGAACCAGGGAGTCATGCAAACAGCGCTTCAAAGAAGTGTCAGCTGTTAGCCGCAAGCGTGAGGTCGCAACCGCATCAAAAGGAAAAGAAAAGAAGTCTCTAACCTGTGTTAATTGCTTTTCTCTTGCTTTTCCCTCTATGCTAATCCGCCACAAACAACAGTAAAATCAGAAAGATTCCATGTTCCGTTATGCCTTGTTGGAACCAGGGGTGGCGGAACAACAGTAAAATCAGAAAGATTCCATGTCCCGTTATGCCTTGTTGGAACCACCAGGGTGGTGGCGGCACAGACTGCCAGAAGATTTCGTTACCTCTGCCATTCTGAAAAGGTTGTCGTTCATTTCCACCTCTTTGAAAGCATAGCTACAGCTGGTCATATGAACTCTAAGGGAAAAGCAAACTTGTTTTGGGTGCCGGATTCAAATCATGACCCGAGACCAGCTGCCGCCAAAGTTTTCCCAAGCAATCACTGATCACACACAAAAAAGAGCCTCCTTAATCCTGTCCTCTGGTTGCTGTCGCTGCTACCTGATCTCAAAAGCGTTGTTTACTGCACGCAGAATTTGTGCAATACAGCAGTGGCAGGGGGAGAGATTTGCAGCAGAAAACTGGTGTATAACGCCATGCCAGATCAGTGTATGAAACTGTCATATTTATACTGTACATGGCTCCATGACCAGGGGGAGGATACACAGAATGGACAAGGGTTCGTTAGTAAACGAATAGAAGAATAAAGCCGTGAGTAATTTCAGGTATGGGTCTATAAAGTAACAATAGCACTGTTTGGATCAGTGTAGGATTTCTCGCTTGGAAATGGTTTAGGAACCCTTGGCTGACTTTTTAGGCTTCTGAATGTGAGTTTTTCTTTCCCCTCTGACAGGTTGTCTGTCAGAAACCCAAATGTGCAAAGGGAAGCTGATGGGAGAGATTAATTAAAAAAAAAACCCACAGAATTGACGTATGGACACTATTTCTCCCCAACTGGATCCTGGCCCTGATTTTTTAAAGAAGTCTTGCTTGACTTTTAGGCTCTTCCGTTTCATTTGGTTTTAGAATTGGATGACACCGTTTTGAATTTTTTTCCTTGAAAAAAAAGAAGTGAGTTATAAATCGCGTGTCCTTTGAGCCAACGGGACAATGAAAGGCAGAGCCTTGCGAGAGGTTCTACCATGCCCAAATACCAAAAAATGGAGGCAGGGAGAGGCTCACGCTTCCAAATAAATACTAAATATGTTTGAAGAAGGCCCGTGTGAGAGGTGAGAGAAAGCACCACAGAGCAGAGGAGAAACTTAATACACTTCTCTACACCAAAGCCACTATCCAGTACAACAGCTCCTGAGGCCATTTTTTCCAACACCTCCCTCAGACTCAACACGAGCTTTTCAACATGAATTTTGCCCTCAGTTCCCTATGGGCATCACCAGATAGTCCTGGCAGGTATCAAATAGGAGACGTGCCTCTCTAATTAAGCTGTCAAGATACTCTGCCTGTCAGCGATGAAATGCTAAATACCGTCCCATGCTGATGTGGGAATACAGTCGTGCCCCGCTGGACGATTACCCCGCTCTACGACAAATCTGCATTATGTTGACGTTTTGTGATCACTTTTGCTATCACAAAATGATGTTTTAAATGGGGGAATATCGCTTCACGTCGATCGGTTCCCTGTTTCAGGAACCGATTTTTCGCTTTACGACGATCAGCAAACAGCTGATCGTCGGGTTTCAAAATGCCCCCCCCTCGCTGCTTTCTAGGACAGATTCCTCACTATACAGGCACCGAAAATGGCTGCCGTATGGAGGATCTTTGCTGGACGGTGAGTTTTTCAGCCCATTGGAATGCATTGAATGGGTTTTTAATGCATTTCAATGGGATTTTTCCGTGTCATTTGACAATGTTTTCGCTCTACAGCGATTTCGCTGGAACGAATTAACATCGTCAAGCGAGGCACCACTGTATGCTGGGACTGTGGGTTGGGCTCAAAGGCTGGTCACTGCAGTCTGGGCATTGTGGAAACAGGATGTGGTGGAGCCAAAATTCCATCGCTCTTCTGGCTCTTCTGAGGCCCCTGCTTTGGAATCAAGGCTAATTCCACGAGCAGAGGTGTCTGGAGAAATATTCAGGTCATCAGAGTCCAGAGGATGCCAACAGACTGTCTGACAGCCCAACAGGAAAGGGAAAATTCTGGGAGAACATTAGTTTCCTTTCTCTTCCGGAGACGACAACGGCTGTTGTTACAAGAGAACTCAATACATGGAGGACACCATTCGGATCGGAAGAGAACATGGCCCACCAGATGCTCTTGTATTACAACTCCCATCCCTTGGAGATGGGTGACCATGCACTAGGGTCTAAAACGCTGAGAGAAGGGCGTCCTGGAATATCTTAAAAAAAAACAGATGGAGTTGGGTGTCACCAGAATACTATTGGTACCAGACCACAAAATTCTGGACAGTCTCTTTCAAGTGTTCCATGGATCTGTCCCCAACTTTGGGCCTCCAGATGTTCTTGGACTTTAACTCCCAGAAATCCTGGCCAGCAGAGGTGGTGGTGGTGAAGGCTTCTGGTAGTTGTAGTCCAAGAACATGCTATCCTCTTCTGCTCACTACCATCTTGACCGTAGACCATCTTGACCGCCGCCATTGATGTTGTCAACATTCAGTCTGTCTTTTGAAACATATAGTTTGGCATTCTTTTTCCTGCTGGCAACACAGGCATGGCATTGTACAGCAAAGATTGAGTGATTTCTTGTTTTTTTTTGAATCGTGGGCTTTTCCTGCTGGCAACACAGGCATGACATTGTGCAGCAAAGATTGAGTGATTTCTTGAGGTTTTTTTGAATCGTGGGTACAGAAGCACATTCATAAACCAAAGGGTGGGTGGGTTGGTTTTCGGAAGAATCAATTTTTGACCAACAGCAACTACCTCGTGTCCTGGAGGTTGGGTCGAGCTTTCCCAGTCTTGCTCCTTGAGCTGTCGTGAGCTGCCTAGGCTGAAGACGAGACCAGGGCCTTTATCCATGGCAAGCAGTGTATCTTATCCCTGATTCGTGACCCCACGTGGGGCTCAAAGCTTACCCTGTGGTCCAGCTGGACCTCTGACGCCAGGAATGCCTGAAGGTCCACGGATGCCGGCGTCTCCTTTGGGGCCCGGAGGGCCTTGCCAAGCCAGCCTCCCTGAAAGAGAAAGAGAAAGGGGAGTTGTGCATTCGGGTCAACCCCTTGGAGGGCCTTGCCAGCGAGGCCGTGGCTGTGCTCACCCACAAAAACGGATGAAAAGAGAGAGGGCCTTGCCAGCGAGGCCGTGGCTGTGATCGCCCACAAAGATGGATGAAAAGAGACAGAGGGAGGAGGAGGAGGAAGAAAGGTAACATTCAATTTTTACCAAACAGGCGCATCATCTCTCTGAAAGTCAGAGACCAGAAGGCCTGGAGATGGGAACAATTTCTGCAAGTAAGAATTGAGGTCAATGGCACATAATTTTGAGTGGGATTTTAATGGATTGTTGTATCTTACTGCTTTGAATGTGTTTTGATGCTGCTTATGTTGTGTGTGTGTGGTTTTTGGTTTATTTTGTTTTTTGCTATGGGGTTTGTTTAAGCCTTTTTGTATTTGTATATTCATCGTTGTCAGCTTTAAATCTTGCCTTTGAATGATATAAACTGCCTTGGCAAAAAGCGGGCTATGAATGAATGAATGAATGAATGAATGAATGAATGAATGAATGAATAACCTTTTAACTGCAGAGCTGGAAAGGATCTGATGGATCCCTGAGTCCAGCCTCTCTCAAGGAGGCACCGTGGGGGAATCGAACTCCCAAAGCCTGGCTACGCAGCCCAGAGACCTCAACCACTGAGCTTTCCAGCACTTCGAGTTATTACTGGATCCCAACGAGTCTAACAGCTGTCCCTTTGATTACTGTTGTGTAGAAAGTTAGACACCTTGAAATAAAGAATCCACGAAGCGTTTCATACTCTCTAAGTGGTTTAAAACAAAACTGCCGTTACCACCATCATGCAACCTCGTCAAACGCAAACCACATGCCATTTTTAATCGCATCGGGTCTCAACCATGTTGCCTCTCTCTCCACTTCAGTGAGGAGCATGACAGCTCATACCTGGAAACAAGGCTAAGAAAGGTGGTGGGGGGGGGAGAAACCGCCTAGTTGATGGATGGCCAACCCCTAGGATGGATGTGGCGGCTTCCTCGTCGCAAAAACGTAAACACGGCTGAGTTGCAAAGAGAATCTGAGCCAGGAGGAATCCCAGTCTCATGCCAACATTTCTGCTTGGTGCACAATATTCCATGCACACATGGAAACATGAGCAGAGCAAAGAAGCATCTCTGCACCATGTTGAGGGCTCACATCACCTTTTCCATGATCTGTGGTGAGCAGAAGAGAGGCTGGGGGAAGGAGTATCTCCTTCTCATCATCTCCAACCCAGCAGCTGCCCCTCTCCTCTCACGGAGCCCTTTAATTCTGCAAAGGCAGAGCTCCCTCCATTCTAAATAACTCCCCTCCTTCTTTTCTCCCCTCCTGCTCTCGCACACACCAAACCAGAAACATGTGTTCTGTCCAAGCAAGGGAAGGCCTGGTAAATCTTTCCAGCTGCAAAAAGCTGAAGCCAGCTCACTGGAAACCCTGCCAGCCCCACGATGGTCCCTGCGGCCAGCTGCTTTCAATTGCAATCTCTCGCCGGCTGCATTTCCCTGAGGTCTCCCGATAAAAAGCTGGCAGCAGACGCCAAGGCAGGGAGAGGTGGATGGCGGGAGGCGGCAATCAGAACAGAAGCATAAACCCGACTGAAGCCATTCCAGTCTCAGGGTGTTTCTTCTTCATACTTCACTGAATGGACACAACCAAGCTCTCCCGATTGCCACACAGCCGGCTTTCTCTTACAGAGCTAATCTTCACTGATAGAAAGATGCAATTGTGACACTGTCTTAATAAAAATAATAATCTGCAGAGCTGGGAGGGACCCTTCTGGATCATCAAGTCAAGGAGGCCCAGTGGGGGAATCAAACTCCCGACCTCTGGCTCCTCATCCGGAGACCTCAACCCATGAGCTCTGGGAAAGAAACTCCCAACCTCTGGCCCCACAGCCGGAGATCTCAACCCATGAGCTCTGGGAAGCCTCTATGAAGACAAAGCCTTTGCTACAGTAAAGACGTTAGGATCAATGCTCAAACCATCCAATTCAAATGAGATTTTTTTTTTTAAATTAATTGTTTGTGAGCTTCACACATTAACCTAATGTTATTGCTGGTTTGTTACACATTGCTTTTTTTTTGTTTTTAGAAAGCCATAAGCAGTTGGTGAAACAAATTCCCTATCCTATGCAAAACCTTTCCAGCATTGCAAGCCAGAACTCCTTTCTTGGAAAACGGTTTCAGGCGTTAAATGGTTTTTTAAAAATTGTTTAATCTCTGATCACAACTTAGGAGATAAGGGCAGAAGAATAAGGAAATAATGAATTCAAACCCGCTTTTGTGATGAATTAAAACCCACTCTTGTGCCACCAAACTAACGAACGTGAGTCTCATTGAGTTACAAACAAAATGTGTTGCATTTCTTTAAGGTCCCCAAGGAATCAGCAGAACATGTGATTCTTAACATGTTATCAGTAAACCCTGGTTAGGAGGACTTTTCATGGTAGAGATCATGCTCCTGAATACAAAGGGATCAACTACAAGGACCTGGCTCCAGTCCCATCTGAGAAAAAGTATCTCGGTTCTCAAAAAGGCTTCCTAGGGTTGACCCAAGACAGCTCACAAGTTTAGGTCTCACCTTGGATTGATCCATCCATCCACCGATCCATTGATTGAACCATCCATCCCTCCCTCNCCATCCATCCATCCATCCATCCATCCATCCATCCATCCATCCATCCATCCATCCATCCATCCATCCATCCATCCATCGTTCTTTAGGACAACCCAAAAACTGTTCTAATTTTTTGGAAAAAAATGGGGTGGGGTGGCAGGCTTGAACATTCACTTGTGCCTTCCGGAGGGGGTGTGGGCTACTTTGCCAATTCATGAGGAACCCGCACCACATCTGCACTCCTCCAGAAACATTTTCTAAGGGTGGGCTACTTTGCCAATTCTTGAGGAACCCGCACCACATCTGCGTTCCTCCAGAAACATTTTCTATTTTTTTTAAAAAAATATGCCCACTAGAGGGTGCAAAGGGACTTTCCCAGTAAAAGACGCCCATTCCTTTGGGTAAGTGAAAAAACTGGGTGCGCTTGTCACAAAATTAAAAACTGCAGTAAAAATATATATTCCATCCTAAAGTTCTTTAAAGCAACTAAAAAAAAATCCAAGACCATAAAACCCATTAAATGTGGGACCTGTTCAAATCACCCCCAAAAATTAGGCATTAGCAAAACCCACTTTGTCCTAAAGTTCTTTAAAGCAACTAAAAAAAATCCAAGACCATAAAACCCATTAAATGTGGGAACTGTTCAAATCACCCCAAAACCCACTTTTAAAAGACAGGTCTTCACTCCTTTCCTGAAAACTGTGAGAGTTGAAGGCCATCACCTTCTCAATCATCCTAGCCAAAAAAAAGAAAGAATTTGAAACTGGCCTACAGTGAATCTAAACTCCTGCGTCAAGGGTAGTTTTGGGGGTTATTTCCTGTGAACTGCAGGCTGCAATGGGTTAGGTAAAGCTTCCCCTTGACATTGAGTCCAGTTGTGTCAGACTCTAGGGCGCGGTGCTCATCCCCGTCTCCAAGCCGTAGAGCCAGCGTTTGTCTGCAGACCGTTTCCGTGGTCACGTGGCCAGCGCAACTAGACACGGAACGCCGTGACCTTCCCACCAAAGTGGTCCCTATTTATCGACTCACAATTTTACATGCTTTTGAACAGTGAGGTTGGCAGGAGCTGGGACAAGCGACGGGAGCTCACTCCATCAACCTGCAGCGCCACCCACATCCCTTTACATTGGGTTACCCCGTTTAACCTGCAGCGCCACCCACGTCCCTTTACATTGGGTTACCCTTGCTTTAAAAGAAAGTGTGTGGAGAATGCGCAGCTTCTTCTGAAGCTGAATCGCACTTCCAGACCTCTTCCAGGAGCACAATTGGACTTCCAAAAATCCCCCCAAATGCTTTGCTTTAAAGTGAGAAGGGGGCAGCAAAGTCTGCAGAGACAGGCAAGTACTTGCATAGCAACCCAAAGCTATGGGTTGTCCCCTCTTTCTTTTGAGACTCAGCCCCCAAAGACCCATTTTTTCCATTTCCCCACACCCATTAAGAACTTCCGGATCTTGCTTGCATCTCACTTACCTTTCAGGCTTTCGTCCCCTGGGCTCCCCTGAGCAGCCACAGAACCCCACAGAGCTAAAGATTCGGGGGCGACGTGTTCCTTTGAGGCGGTTCGTCCACCGCCAGGGACCAGGGAGGCCATGGACTCGGCCGCCGAAAGGGTTGCCACCTGAGGACGAGTGAACATGCCCATCAAGGCTGCTCCCTCCTTGTGGCGAGCAAAAGCTTTAAACCCTTACAAGCTGGCGAAGAAGAAACGGGCTAGAGACCTGGAAATGTTACTTCCTTGGACCACAGTTCCCAGGATTCCCTGATACACACAGCCAAACGAGACCTGTTCAACCTCCCTCTTCCAGTCTAAGTTAGAATATTTTAGCACCAGATGTAGAAAATCCTTTCCTTCCACACTAATTTTATGCATGATACAACTAATTTGTGGCATATTTTGTTCAGTGCTCCGTTACAAAATCCAGAGCCCCGAAATGGAGTTTCACTCCATAAGACCAGTGATCTCCAAGCCAAGAAACCCGTTTCTTGAAATTTTGATCCCTACTAGGAGCAAATCTTTTCCAAGATGGGCCTTCATTTGCCCTTTGAAGACTAAACATTTCCCAAATTGCTTTGTAACCGATTGATTGATTGACAGTCTGTATGCCCAGGCATTACAAACCTTGGCTGCTCTGCTCCTTGAACATAACAACCCCTTGGGCTATTCTGTGGTTGAAGCCTGTCTTAGAATCAATGTCACCCAACGCATCTGACAAAGTCTACAGCTGAATCCAGGTTTCCCACATCAGTTCACTAGCTCATGTTCTCTCCTGGAGAGAGAGAGAGTGTGTATGTACAAAAATAATTCAAGTAAATGACATCCCAAAGTGTCTCACATTGGTTATTCATCTTTCCCCCAAGGTAAAGGTTCCCCTTGACATTTAGTCCAGTCGTGTCCGACTCTGGGGCACGGTGCTCATCCCCATCTCCAAGCCGCAGAGCGAGCGTTTTGTCCAAAGACAGTTTCCGTGGTCATGTGTCCAGCGCGACTAGACACGGAACGCCGTGACCTTCCCACTGAGGTGGTACCTATTTATCTACTCGCATATGCATGCTTTCAAACGGCTAGGTTGGCAGGAGCTGGGACAAGCGACGGGCGCTCACTCCGTCGTGTGGATTCGATCTTACGACTGCTGGTCTTCTGACCCTGCAGCACAGAGGCTTCTGCGGTTTAACCCTCAGCACCACCACGTCCCAAGGACCTTCCTCAAATTTAGAGAACTTCTGCCTCCATTTCAGGTTTTTAAAGAGAACGAAGCCCTTCTTCAGATGAAACCCAGTGGCTTTCAGGGCAACAGACACCGCTACCCTTACTAACTGGAATGAGGCTACCACCTCAGAGTGACTTCTAGATGATAACCAGAAAGCCTTAAGTATGCTTTTGCCCACCCTGGTCTGCGGAATTCAAGAGGCTTTCTATACTTAAGTGATGAAGTGTTGTTGTTTAGTCATGTCCGACTCTTCGTGACCCCATGGACCAGAGCATGCCAGGCCCTCCTTTTCTTCCACTGCCTCCAGGAGTTGGGTCAGATTAATGTCTGTAGATGACACTGTCCAACCATGTCGTCCTCTGTCGTCCTTCTCCTCTTGCCCTCACACTTTCCCAACATCAGGGTCTTTTCCAGGGAGTCTTCTCTTCTCATGAGATGGCCAAAGTACCGGCTCCTCAGCTTCAGGATCTGTCCTTCCAGGGAGCACTCAGGCTTGATTTCCTTCAGAATGGATCGGTTTGTTCTCCTTGCAGTCCAGGGGACTCTCAAGAGCCTCCTCCAGCACCACCATTCAAAAGCATCAACGATGAAGTGTAGAGAGGTGGAAAGAGAAGTGGGATGAAGCAGCGTCGCAAGAAGCAATGCTTACCTTGGCTTCCAGGAGGCTGAGACGTTCCATCAGCTCTGAGAGTTTGCTGCAGTTTAAACAACCTGTGGAGGGAAATGATACCACTGAGCCGCTAAAAGGAACTCCTTACATTCTAAAGACTTACATCCAAGAAATGATTGAAAGATACACAGCTAGGTCATCATGCATACATCCAGGGCCAGTCTTACCATTAGTCTGTTGCTGCCCAGAAGCCAGTTTGGGTTGTCAGGAAAGAGCTGTAAACTTGCTTGCTTATTTAGTTGATTGTTATTTTACTTTTACCAACACTGAAAGGGAGAGATGTGTAATGTGTGTGAGAGAGGGCGCCAGACAATTTGTCTGCTCTTGGGTGTTATGCCTCTGAAATAAGAGAGGCAGTGGAACCTGGAGACTCCAACATCAGCGGCCTTGAAAATCCGCTCTGAGTTTTTGTCCGAACTTTGAAGGAGTTATCGAAACGGCTGCCCCAGCTTCATGTGCTCACAGACTGTTTAAATGAAATTTATTCACAGCCATCCTATTCCACCAACCATTGTTTCTTTGTCCATTCCTTTTATCTTCATGTGGTCATGGGGCTGTAGAGAAATAGGCCAGTCCTACAGCCTCACTCTAACATCTGAGGAAGTGGATTTCATCCATGAAAGCTCACATTAAAATACAGTGGTGCCTCGCTAGACAGTTACCCCGCATGACAGTTTTTTCGCTAGACATTGGCTTTTTGTGATTGCTATAGCGATTCGCAAAACAGTGATTCCTACGGGGGGAATTTTGCTGGACAATGTTTGATCCCTGCTTCGCAAACCGATTTTCACTAGACAACGATTTTGACAGCTCCCTCCGTGCTCGCAAAACGGGTGTTTTCGGGATCTAAGCTTCGCAAGACAGCAATTTAAACAGCTGATCAGCAGTTCGCAAAGTGGCTTTCGTATGGCCAATCTTCGCTAGACAACGACGATTCTTCCCCATTGGAACGTATTAAACAGGTTTCAATGCATTCCAATGGGGAAATGCTTTTCGCTACACAATGATTTCGCTAAACAGCGATTTCAGTGAAACGGATTATCATCGTCTAGCGAGGTACCACTGTATAGAGCTTGGTCTTTACAGTGTCAAAAACATTTTGCCTCTTGTTTTTTGGTTGCGTTTTTAAAATTATTATTTATTAATTTATTGGCTGGTCTGCTTGCACCGATTAACACGGCTGCTCCTTTCAAACCTACCATTTTTCAAAGGGCCTTGCGGTTTGGGGTGTTGTGCTCTCACAAAAGGCCCGCTCGCACAAGAGAATTCTGCACAAGCTGTTTCTCAGCTGGCCGAACATTTGGAAGTTCAGCGGATGGAATGGGATCTTCAAGTGCCCGTAGGGAGGGCCAAGGGGTAGCAAGAGGACAAGCCAGTGCTGTGAAAAGCAGTTCAGTCATTGCCAAGCATCGCACACTCAGCTGTTGCCTTATCCCCACCCCCACCCAGTGAGAAGATGAGGCATCATCAAATCAGACCGGGCAGCCCATAACTAAGCTTGTTAAAAACAAAAACAAACCCAACTTTACAAAATCTGGGTTTGGGGTTAATATTGTACCCGTTCTAAAAGAACTGCCTTTGACGTTGGTCTCGCCGGAGGCTGATTCATGGTGCTGATGCTTCCTTTTTTTAAAAGCCCTAAATCAGGGGGTTCCCAACCGGGTCACCCAGATGTTCTCGGACAGCAACGCCCAGAAGCCTTCACCACTCGCTGTGCTGGCCAAGGCTTCTGGGAGGTGCAGTCCAAGAACACCCCGATTGACCCACGATGGAGAACCACTGCCCTAAATGGTTTGGGAGCATCCATGTATCCAGAGCAGGGCTTTCCCCTATGCCAGCTTGCCCATGTGCTAAGGATCTTCAGGCACGGATCTTCTCTAATTATCTTTGGGAACCGCCTCTGTGGAGGTACCCCAATGATGGAACACCCTCCCCACGAAGGTGTACTAGCAACACCGTTATTGTGTTTCTTTTGGCAAGAAAACCCCACATTTTTGCCTCGTTATTGTGTTTAGATTTGTTTATAAAGCCAGGTAGTATAGACAGAGGTTGGTTCTCCTCTTCTGAATCTGATCTTCAGATCAAAACTTCTACTCTATCCTTTCTCACAAAACAAAAAGAATGAAGATTCACATCCAAACTTCAGTTTTCAAAAGCCATCTTCTCTTCCGTTTTTTTAAAAACCCAACTGGTTAAGATTCTTTTAAAAATAATAATAAATAACTCTGCTGTTATTTCTCCGAAAGTTTTGCTTTTTCTCTTTGAGCGTCAGATCAAAAGCTCGCACTTGAGAGGTTTCCAGGAAAATCTTTTCCGAATGACGAGAAGCGCTAGAGCGCTAAACTTTAGTTACCAGAACATAGTGGAACTAAAAATAAACTCTGCTTCAGGAGCGATGAGAAGGTACAGAAAATGATGAGACTAGCCACTTAGCTAAGTGAGATAAGACCTGTGTGAGGTACATGTTGGGGAAAATACCAGTAAAATCAATATAGAAAGCCCAGTTTTCATGAGGAAAAATGCTCTGTATAAGCCCTGAAACCAAGGGCATCTGTCTTTTCCCCAGTTTACAAACATATAATGTCTGGAATGCTTAATGAATTGAACATCAATACTAGTAACAAGCTAACATTATCTGCCCCACATGAGGACAGCTGGGCAGTTTAGGGGTGCAGGGTACCAATATATGGCATCGGTACTATAGTGGCGGTGGAGCGCTAAGCAATTGCTCACACTTGTCCCCCTCAACCATTTGCCCAATGGCAGGGCCGGCCCCGGATGGAAACCATCGTGAGGGCCATCTGTGTTGCACCCAGAAGTATTTTTTTTCCCTGACACCCAACACTGAAAGATCACAGCTTTATGTAATTTCCCTCAAAGACAAGGATGGAACCTTGTGTATGCACCTCGCTGAAGCAAAAATTGGAGGATTTCTTTTGTGCAGGGTGGGGGTGATGAATCAGAAGCTACTGTGTTGTCGCTCTGAACTGGAAGCAGCTTTGAGGGACGGGTGGCGTCCCCATAGGATCCCGAGAGTGGAAAAATGGCCCCCGAACTTGTGACATTTACTCACACCTGACTTAGACCAAGAGTGGGTAAATATAAATATTTTATATTTATATTTTAAATTAATATTTATATGAATATTTTAAATAAATAAGTAAACATACTCTGGCTAGGACACCATTTTAAAGCACTGATGTACGTTTGATGGGTTTATATGCAAACGATGCAAAAGCATGTTAAGGATGATTGTTAACGGCTGGCAGAGGCGAAGAAAACAAGGTTATCCTTCTGAGTTCTGGACCCAATGTTCAATTCTTTTTTCGGGGGGTGGTGGTTCATGTGGACCTTTCCTTGTGCCATTTTTCTTTCCATTTAAGGGATAGTGGACATCATATCGCATCTGTTGTGGGAAGGGAAACAATGCAAGTCTGAGGGGGACGGGTTGCCATGGAAATGGAAGAGGGATGCAGGGGAATTTGGAAAGTTAAGGGGGTAGCAAGAGAGAAGAAGGAAGAAAGGGGGTGAGAGGCCCTGGAGGAAAATAGCTACGGGATTTGTTTCATTTTAAGTCTTCAATTTACCAATCAATCAGTCAATCCATCCATCAATCGCTTTCAGTGGCAAAAGACAATACATTTATTGGGGCTTCTTTTTTTCCAGATGTATTTGCAACACAACGAAATCAAAAACAACTGTACAGGGCAATCAGTTGAAATTCTGATGTTGTTTAAAAAACATACTAACTGGTCTCCACCTCTTGAATGAGAAGGCGGTGGGATTTTTGGCTTGCTGTGTTCTTTTCTCCCTGTTATTTTTATTTTCTGCTCAAACGGTTATTTATCCTTTTAAGGTGTTGTCGCTACCCACTCTTGCAAGCCAGCTGAAGGGTTTGTCAGATGGAAAGAAATGACATGAATAAAACATGGGGTGGTTAAAATAAAAGTGTTTGCAGACGTAACTGGTCCGAAGCCTGTTTTGGTCTTACCACGCACGCAATGTGCCACAGTGGCGGATGGTGGTGCCTTCCGTGTTGTTTGCATAAGGAGGCATTTACTAAACCCTTGCAGAAATGGAAACTCTTGCTACTTGAACCAGAAGTGAGCATCAGTGTGCATGAGAGCATGCGGGAGATTAGACAGAGCGTGCAAGGACGTTATGCGCTGCGTCTGCCAACAGAATTGGGCTCACTGTGGTCCGAAAGGCCTCCATCCTTTCAAGCACACAATATTTTATCCCCCCGCTGCCCACTTCCCACATGCCAAACTGACCTCAATCTAAGTCACCACTATGTCTTTTTTAGTTAAAATCTCCTGATTGTAATACGATACTTATTTAATTCTTTTTTTAAAATAGATAAGTCACCACTATGTCTTTTTTAGTTAAAACCTCCTTATTGTAATACGATACTTGTTTAACTGTGTTTAAAAATAGATTTGTATATTTACCGTTTTTAGATTTTAAATATTGTCCTTTCAATTTTGTAAGCAGCCTTTGAAGGGGAACGGCTGGGTAAAAATATTTTAAATAGATAATAAATAAGATGAATTGCACGGTAGGATGAGAAGGCCAGGGAGTGGGGCAGGTGGAGGAGGGGAAAGGTAGATCTGGTTTCATGCACCTTTAGGACCTGTAATAGCTAGCTGGGGATTAAGGATGTTGAAGGTGGCCACATTTTAGGAGAGGCGGCTCCAGGGTCTAGAAAGTTCACTTAGAATACTTGTTAAACTGCACCAAATAAGGAGCGGGAGGCAGTGTGGGCTCAGATGGGCAACTCTGCCGATTCCCACACTCAGCGGATTAGCATCTTATGTTGTAGAACCAATTCTATTAACTCTTTGGCTAACACAATCAACCATGGCAAAACCCCATCCTAACAACTGCTGTCCATTTTTGGCAGTGTGGAGGTGGACTATTCAAGATTTTCTCTCCCCTCCTCGCCCAGCCCCTAGAAACCTGGAATCAGAGAGGTGTGGGCTCCTTTTAATCCTAACAGGCCATGTAAAAACTACCTTCAAGCAAGCAGGCAAACTCTGGGCGTGCTAAAATGATGGCTCAAAAAGGATTCTTGACAACAGCACATTTTACGCACCTACACAAACCAGTTTAGATGAATGACTCAAGGCATGGGACTGTTTTCATGCCATGGACACATTGATTCCATGCTCCTTATCCGGCTGGCTGTTGTTGTTTTTTAAAGTAGCCATTATTGTTTTATTATTGGGACCTAACTTAATAATGCACTTAATAATGAGCTTAAAGACTACCAGTAGAGAATAGTTAGTTGGACTGTGTTACTTGGCCTGCGGTGTAGATGTTTGTATTTTTAGTGGGGGACTTTTAGTGGGTAGGGAGTGTTGGGGGATTCTTTTAGTGGGTGGGGAGTGTTTGGGGAATTGTATGTGTGTGCATGTGTCTGGTCTCTGGGTGTCTGTGAATTTCATTGTATGGGTATACTGTGTATATACTTACAATGACAATAAATTATTATTATTATTATTATTATTATTATTATTATTATTATTATTATTATTATTATTATTATTATTATTATTATTATTATTATTATTATTATTATTATTATTATTATTATTATTATTATTATTATTATTATTATTATTATTATTATTATTATTATTATTATTATTATTATTATTATTATTATTATTATTATTATTATTATTATTATTATTATTATTATTATTATTATTATTATTATTATTATTATTATTATTATTAT